GGGACGGCTAGAGCAGATAGCCCTCGTGTAGCTTTGCGCGAAAATTCAAAAACAAACAAACAACTCTCTTCAATTATGTACCAGCTGCATAGTGTCGGCTAACAATACGAAGAATTAAATTGTGGCGAAATGCTACAAGTTCTTCAAATACCTATATTCTGAAAGGTATATAACATCAATTTGTGTTTGTTTGCATAATAGAACAGGCACACAGTGTAGTAGAATGTTAACAGACAAAAACAGGATAAATTAAACTCAACTGTGATTGGTCATATATATGTATATTTTTGCCTGTGCTATGTGTAGGGATGACGCAAGTGCCAACCCTACTATCTTGTTTGCACTGTTTTTGAAGGATTAAGTTCTCCTTACTTGTTTGCTTGTTGTTTTTTTTTTGTTTGTTTGTTTTGTTTTGTTGTTATGCAGTGTTTCAATGGACATGGTAAGGTTCTTTATATAACCAAGCTCTAAATACAACCAGGTTCCAACTGTAATATTTCTTGATTATTTGTTATTGGATGGTAAGTTCCTGTTTCTATTTAAGGTTTTCAAATGAACACCAAATTTCTGTTTTCTCTAGCCTTAAGGTACTCTGCTTCACTTTTTTAATTTTTAATTTTCTTCTTTTGTTTACTTAATTACCCTAGCCCATTCGGCTCAGTACTCCGCTGACCTCTAAACGTCATGTAACCTTTTACCACGAGCGGGGTGAAGGAGGATTGCTTAATCTTCGAGCACCCCAGATTAATAATTATTTCCTTCGGAAATAATTATTTTTAAATCTAAATAACTGCCAGGAAAAACAATAAACAACCAAATTTCTGTAAAAAAAAAAAAAGCTGGCTTCAAGGGGTCATGATAACATCTTTAATTTACATTAGAATTGTGATTTTTTTTTAATTAACACTAGTTATTAATAATACTGATAAAAGCAGATACTTCGTTTGAAACTATATCACTTCAGGGAAATTAGTTGACACAATTGTTTTGGTTTTTGAGTTATCATGTAATAAAAAAGAACCAGAAGAAGGAACAACAAGAAATGTAAACTTTTCGCTATGATACTTGCAGATATTTCCACAACCTACGGTTCATTCGTTACATAGATATTGTTATAAAAGGAAACACTGTATAGTATTGTAAGGTTTTGATGACATATTGAGGAGATATTTAAAATATAATTTCGATGAATAATCCGAGCCATCCCTACATAGGCAGTGCTACCGCCTGCTTGATATTTCTATATATTCGGCTAAGAGTACTTTTGGTTAGCCTGTCGGGCAGCTCGTCGTATCATGACAAAACTAATAAGGCTACCTGCCGTCATGCATACTTTTGAATGTAGACTAAATGGAAGGCAACCGGTTGGTAGCACCCACCGTCAACACTGGGACTGTTCTTTTGTCAACGAAGAGTGGAATTGAGTGATACATTATAAAGAAGACCCCACGGTTAAAAGAATAAGTACTTTCGGCGCTGGGTTTCGATCTCACGACCCGCAGGTTGTGAGTCGATCACCGTAACCACCAAGCTATGCCAAACATGTGTCGGGCAGAACTGAAGAGTTCGGGATTTACGATGTGATACCAATGAACACGCTCCGCACTTTCAGCTGTGGGCATATTATATAAGTAACACTTAAAAAGTAGGTATCAAGTGCTGCTGGCTAGCCTTTCCTTTTAATTGGTATAGTAGTATGCAAATTTATCAGAACACCTCAACGATTATCATTTTATGAGTTTATATACAAAATAGTCATCGATTTGCTGTACACATTAGCTTCTAATAATCACAAATTAATCCTACAGTAAACTATTAGAGAATTAGTACATAAATAATATATTTCTTTAAGTTTCTTTAATGCCAATATTTAGTTTGGCCACCTTCGATATCGAAAACAGCTCGGAATTCTTTTGGCATTATCTTTATACATTTTCTCAAAGTCTTTGGTATAATTTGATTTCATTTCTCCTGAAGTTGTGTCCAGAGGTTTTCTTTAGCATACTTGGTACTTTTGTCAAGTACGGAGTCCAGGAAATTACAGATTTTTTTCAAAGATATTGAGGTCTAGACTTTGTGGTGGCAATTCCATTTGGTTTCAGATCTCCTGTACTTTCTTTGCCAGAAAAGTTCCACATTTCTTGGAATATGAAATTCTGTCAAATCAACTTCTTTGTAGAGGATAGCATCATGGATTAATATACTGTGGTATTTATGCCAACACAATTTATATATATATATTGTGCCTCAGACTATCACAGATCCTCCTGCACGTTTGGCTGCTAGTAGAAGGCACTCCTTCTATAACCTTTTATTGGTACTTTGGCGGACGTGTATACACCGATTGGAACCATACAGTTTCACTCTAGAGTCATCTGTGCAAATCACATTTACAAAAACAAGAATGTAGTGCGTGCTTTTTCTTGCTACTACCCTTCTCGAATTCATGCAATGTTCTTCAGACTGTAAGTCTTGAAACTATATTTGTGCGTGACTTGTTAATATCACCAGCAAGGATTTTTGGATTTTTCCTTTGTTTTTTTCGTAGAACTGATTTTTAATTATATATAACATCTCTTCTCTGCTTTGCTGGCGTTATGGAACTGGGTTTACTTTTATTTGTCCATGTGTACTTCACATTATTTGGTGAATAGTCGAGGTCTTTTTTAATTTTTATTAAACTACAATTACCCATCGTGTAAAGATCTGACTATCAGTGTTAATTCTTTTCGTTTTGACATTTTAATGGCAACAACAACACTCAATATAAGCTCTTACGTACTCACATGTACCTGCATGAAAACTCGTAACATTAAAGTATCCCATTTTTATCAGTGGTGATTGGAACAGAAACTAAAGACTACAATGTGACAACATTGTACTACATTGTATTTAGATTAGAAATCTTAAACAACTTTTTAAAACCTACTGCAATCAATCATTTGTAGCTGTGTGTTGTTTTTATCTTAGAACTTTAAGTGATTTAAATATGTAGCATATTTAAGTCGTGGATAACATCAGAAAATTATTAATTTACCTATTTTGATGCTTCTTCCAATAGTTTAAACTGTAATGGTTTTAGTTCATAGACACAAGAAATCAAAACTACTACAATAGGGTGTTCTAATAAATGTGCACACTACTACAGTTACTAAAGTTAATAGTGATCATACCTAAATCTTAAGAGGTCTCTGACCTTTTAGTCCATGTGCGCAAAAGGTGTCATACTTTAATTTCAAATAAGCCACATGTGATTAAGCAATAATAATATTATTATAAAATTACAGTTCACAATTTGAATGAAAATCGATAGCAGGAGTCAGTAGATACATAACGTGAACACATATGTACCAATAAAAATACATTCAGAAAAAGTATAATGTTTTAAATCACAATGACTGCTGAAGCGAGTCTTACGAAAGAGATATAAGGTACGTATGCATTCTCATAAAATAAAAATCACAAAATCTAGTTGCTTAAACATGAATGTGGGAACAGTGTGTAGGGGTGGGGTAAGAGACATACTGGGGGTGAAGTCCCTATCGGGACGTTACAGGTTTACGATTGTCACAATTTAATTATAATTTCTAGTCCAAAATACTTTCTAGCTGTAAACAGATAAAGATCATAGAAAGATAGAAATCTGTATAAAAAAGAGTAATGTAATTTTCTCGTTATATTGCTTATTTGCACATTATTTCCCTCGATTTTTGTCATATCACGGTTATTACTAGTCAAAATAGTTCTAAATATGCATCCCAATTGTAAATTTTTCCTGTTTGGGAACACATCCACA